GGGGAGCCCAGGGAGAGACTGGGAGTGGGGCCTTTCGAGGCTGGCTCTCCTTTGGCTGGGGTGGGGTGGGGCAGGGCAGGGGGAGGTGAAGGAGGGGAGGGGTGATGGGGGCAGTGGGGGGTTGGGCAAAGGGAAGGGGGTAGATGTGGGGGCAGGGGGTAGGGGAGGGGGGCAGGTACCTGCTCACTCTGGATGCTCTGTACTAGCGCCAGAGACTTCCTGCTCCGGAAGATCTCGACCTGCCGCAGGGAGAAACAAATCAGTCAGGAGGGAGATGGGGGCTGCTCCCCCCACCCGGGTGCTGGGAAGATGGGGGCTGCTTCCTTCCCCCCTGGGTACTGGGGAGATGGGAGCTGCTCCCCCACCCTGGGCGCTGAGGAGATGGGGGTTGTTCCCTCCCGCCCCGGGCACCGTGGAGATGGGGCTGCACCCTCCCCCCCCAGGCACCGGGGAGATGGGGGCTGCTCTCTCCCCCCCAACCCAGGCACGGAAGCAGCTCTTCCCAATGGTGCCCCCCCCGATACTCACCACCCCCCAGGTCGTTCTCTTGTTGGGGACGCCCACAACGTACTCTGTGAGGGAAACACAAGAGTCCCCGCGACCCCCGGGGACAGAGCGTGCTGAGCCGCTGGCACAGAGTGCCCCGTCCCAAAGCCAGGGCAAAGCCCCAGCGCCCCCCCAGCCCAATGGGGGGCCGGAAGGGGGCAGGCGGGCGGGGGGGAGTGGAGGGCACAGGAACAGGGGCTGCCCCTCTCCGGGAAGGGCTGGCGCTGGCTGCCTATGCAGCGACCAGGGCAGCGGGAAGCCAGGTACGTGGGGTGCCCTGGGCAAGACTGGGGAGCCCCCACCCTCGGGGAGGGGGGTAGAATCGGATACAGCTCCGCGACTGGAGGACTCTGCCCAGCTGGCAGGGACAATGAGCAAGCAGGGGGGCAGGTCTGGCGGGCAGGGACTCCGGGGCAGGGGAGCCCAGTGGGTGGGGGACTCGGGGAGGGGCGGCCGGGAAGAGGACTTGGGAGTGGGGCGGGGGGCCTGGTGGCATGGACTCCCAGGCTCCAAGCCATTGCTGGGGGCAGAGGCCCCATTTGCCTGGGGGTGGCAGGTGGCAAGAGCCCCTCACCCTCCCTGCTCCCAGCCCTGTGCCCTGGGGGCAGGCAGGGGTGGGGGTGGGGTCACCAGGGGTGCGGCTGGGGTGGGTGAGCCAAGTCTGCTCCATACTGTTGCCCATGGAGCCCGGTTGGCAGCCCCAGAGCCCTGTGCAGCTTCAGGGGTTGGGGGGGCATCACACAAGCCAAGGGCAAATCCCCTACCTGGCGTGGTGGGGTCCCCGTCAAACTCCCCCACGGCCACTGAGTACCCTGCAGAGAGAGGGAGCAGGGTTAACCCTTCGAACGCCCCTGCCTGCCGCACACGCCCAGAGCAGAACGACTGGCACCCAGGGCAAGGAGGTGGCAGTGGTTAGAGCAGGAGGTGGGTTTAAGGCAGGGAGCCCGGACTCCTGGGTTCTCGCCCTGGCTCAGGGGGCCTGGGAGCCGGGACTCCTGGGTTCTCGCCCTGCTCTGGAGGGGAGTGGGGTCTAGTGGGGTAGAGCAGGGGTGGGGGCTGGGAGCCAGGACTCCTGAGTTCTCTCCCTGGCTCAAGGGGGCTGGGGCCTGGGAGCCAGGACTCCTGGGTTCTCTCCCTGGCTCAGGGGGGCTGGGAGCCGGGACTCCTGGGTCCTCTCCCTGGCTCAGGGGGGCTGGGAGCCAGGACTCCTGGGTTCTCTCCCCAGCTCTGGAGGGAAGTGGGGTCTGGTGGTTAGACTGAGGGCAATGTGGATGGTGCCAGGGCCCTGCTGGCACCAGGGAGAGTCAATCTCTCCCGTGCCCAGCCACGAGGCGGGCAGGTTGCTGTGGGAGGCCGCGCTCACCTCTGTAGGCGTCGTCATAATCATAGTTAATGTCCTCCGTGACCTGCTCGGGGGCCACGGACCAGAGCAGGGTGCTGCCAGGGAAGTGGGACACGATTGTCGACAGATTGACGGAGTAGATCAGCCCTGGGGGAACATCCAGGCCCCCCGTGAGCCAGCACCAGGGGCCCTGCATGGAGTAGGCAGGGGCTAGGGATGGTAAGAGAGGGAGGATGCCCAAGCCCAACATGGTCATCCTGCACCCCCACCCCACAGCACCCCCTTCGCCAGCCCCACGTGCCAGCTCCTGGGGCTGGGGGTCCCCATGGGGGGCGGGGGCTGCTTGGCATTTCCCATGTGCCGTGGGCAGCTCGTTGCCCGAGAGGGATGCTCCAAGCTCGGGGGGTTCTAGCTACAGACCGGGGGGGGGGGCAGCCTCTTCCGGCCACAGTGGGACACCACGGACAGGTTGGGCCTGGGGCTGTGGATCAGGTGGGTCCGTTCCAGCCCCCTGGGCACAGGCAGGGCGATGCCCGCAGCCCAGCTGAGGGGGAGCCCTGGGGCGGGCGCTGTCAGCGTTGCCATGGCTCCAATGGAAGCGTCGGAGGTGATGGCAGCCATGCCAACGGGCAACGGGCTCCCCCTCCCCCCACAGCCCCCAGAGCCCCCCAGGAACCAGAGCCCTTACCCACAAAGTAGTATCCTCCCGGGGCACCCAGCACCAGCCTGCCAGCCTGCAAGGGGACAGGACAGGCCTGAGTGAGCACCC